TTTTGGCATTCCGGCTAGTTCCATTAAGCTTCTCCAATCTAGGCTGTTTTTAAGCATGGTACCTTCTTTTCTGACCAAGCCAATCTTTCTTTACAGTGTTTGTACCTTGTTCTTCAGCTTCAAAAATGTTCCAAAGGGAGCTTTCAAAGATTAATGAGACAGTTCTTGCTCTTGGACATACAGTTTAAAAGAAAGGGGATTAGGAGAGAGGTATAAAATAAAACTCGGGCAACAGGTCCGAGTTTCAACGCTCTTATAGGTATTTTTTTTGGCAAGGAAGACAAAGACATGCCCCCAGTCATTTGTTCATTCTCTGGATGAGGTCTGGGCTTGGTGGGTCTCCATCTTGCTGAGGTTTTCTTTTTATTGTAGGAGGCAGTGGGTGCAGCCTCCTACTGGCCCTTGACAGATGAGGCAACCAAAAATTCCAGGGCTGTGTAATTCATGTAGGCCAGCCTTCACAATCTCATGCCCTCCAAATGCTTTAAATTGCAGTTCCCAGTATTTCAGAGTATTGGATATGGTAGCTTATGTTGATAGTTGACGTCCAAAACATCTGGAGGTCACATTTATGGTACATATCATCTGGCCCTAAGTTACACATACAGATCAGGGTGCAGATTTCAAATCTTATATATATGTAATAAAGACATCATACAGAGAATGTCTGTAGAAAACTTTGCCTTTTCCCCCTTCTGAAATGGTGCACATTTGCATAAAAAGCAATATAAAGCTTCAGTTAGGTAATTGCTTGAAAATAGCAACTTTTTCTTAAAGTTGAACCTGGCATCCAGCCCAGTGTTACCAGGAAAGAACTGTGTAAGAATGAGGTATACCCAGCTTGCTTCAAGTTTTCCGTTACATAATAAAGGAAATGGGAGAAGCAGACAGCAGAAGAACTTACAATAAGTTTGATCAGAGATCTGAAATGTATTATACATTTGAAACAATTTTACAAAACGCCAATCATCTTTAACTCATCAAATACAGACACATTAAATCAATGGGTCATAAGTCCCAGAACTTGGAGCTTTACTAGCATGTGACAGAGGAGGAGGACTGCCAGGGGCAATCTCCACCTGTCTGTACCTCCTGCTTTGCTTAACTGCTGGATGAGCATTTTTTACTCTCTGGGGAGCTTCAAAGGGAACATCCTAGTCTGGCTTCTGCAGTTGTCTCCCCTCCCTGCCCCCTAGAACACACCCTTTACCTACTCTTTGAAGCTGAGTTTACAGACTCCAAGAAGCAGCTGGTGTTGAGGGTGCAGGGGGTGGGGGGAATCAGAGTGAAGATTCCTAGCATTGTTTTTGATTTCAAATCTAGGAACCCAAATTATCCTTTGCCCACATCCCAGACAATGTCTAGGACCATACTCTCTCCACAACTTCTACTTGAATATAAGCTGCTTGTTTTTTAAAGCAAATATGTGTAAAACTGAAAATGCTGTCTTAAGAGGCACTCTCTCTTCTTGCTTACACAGGTGAGACTACCTGTATTATAAGACATCTAAATATGAGCCAACAATGCGATGCAGACGCCAAAAAGCCAAATGCTATTTTGCGATGCATTAACAAAAATATTACTTCCAAATCATGAGAAGTTGCCCTATACTCCTCACCAGTCAGACCTCATCTGGAATACTATATCCAGTTCTGGGCGCCAAGATTTAAGAAAGATGCAAAAAAAGGGAGGGTCCAGAGCAGGGCAAATAAAATGATCCAGGTTTTGGAAACACTGCCCTATGAGGTGAGACTGAAAGAACTGGGCATGTTCAGCCTTGAGAAGAGAAGACTGGGGGGGATGATATCCCTATACAAGTACCTCAAAGGCTGTCACAAAGAGAAAGGTCAAGATCTCTTCTCACTGATACTAGAGTGCAGGACATGGAATAATCAAGTCAAGTTGCAACAACCCAGATTTAGGCTAGATATCAGGAAAAGTTTCCTCTCCGTCAGAGCAATATGGAACCAGCTGCCTAGAGAGGTGGTGGGCTCTCCCACACTAGAGACATTCAAAAAGAAACTGGACAGCCATCTGAGTGGGATGGTGTAACATAGTGTCCTGCCACAGAAAGGGGATGGACATGATGGCCTTCATGGCCTCTTCCGACTCTATGATTCTATGAAGAGCACAAGAATGTGCATCATCTAACAACAAGGTATCCTTTTCTTTCTTAGTCTATCATTTTTGCTGATGCAGATTAAAACTACATTTAAAGACACACTTGTCAAAGCTTTCTTTCATTTAAAACTAAACAATTATTTCCCCCTTAATTAAATGTCATTCTGTCCCTCTGTTGTCTTAGTACTAAGTAAGCACAGCTATCTTCCATAAACTATCTAAGATAATGGAGGAAGAACCTGCAGGTCAAACCTCACAATTTTCGAAGTAGTTGTAAGTACCATAATCTTTATTTTAACATTAACAATGAAATCTCATGTGTTTGCTCCAGAATAAGCCCAACTGATTTCCCTGAGTTGCACTCCCAGGTAAATAAGCATAGGATTGTTGTCTCAGACTAATCTATAAACGCACTTGTTGTTATTGCTACATGCCATCCAGTCATTTCGAACTTATGGTGACCCTATGAATGAATGCCCTCAAATGCCCTGTCCTTCCCACCCTCTCCCAGCTGAGGACAACACCAGTTCTCCCTCTCAGCGTTTGTAAACTCAGAGTTGTGGCTCCCTTTATGGAGTCAACCCATCTCGCATGTGGTCGTCTTCTTCTGCCTTAACTTTCCCTAGAATGTCTTCTCCAGCAAGTCTTGCCTTCTTGCGATGTGCCTGAAATACAACAGTTTCAGCTGTGTCATTTTTGCCTCCAGGGATAGTTCTGGCTTGATTTGATCCAGGACCCACCTCTTTCTGGTGGTTCAGGGTATTCACAATGTCTAGCTTTTACACCCGTACACAGTGCTTGGGAAGACTGTAGTGTGGATGATCTTGCCCTTGGTCTCCTGTGGAACTTCCTTACACTTGATCACAATCTTGTCTAGTTCCTTCATTGCTGCCCATCTTCAAATTTCTTGTCTGCAGCTTCCATTTTATTGAGCCAAGGTATGCAACATCTTTCACAATTTCAGTTTCTTCATTGTTGACAGTAAAGTTGTGTAATTCAGTGGTCTTCTTAAGAATGTACAGAATTGTGTTGCAAGTACTACTTCCAGAATCTGTGAAGATTAGTTGCCTCCACTTTGACCAATGTAAACATCACAACTCTTATCACTATTCTCACAATCAAATCCTAATCAGGACATGAACTGATTAATGGCTGTGGGAGGAGGGGAAGACCATTGCTTATTTATTTAAAGAGTGAAAACCCACCTTTCAATACAAAACCCTCAAGGCAAAGAACAGTAAGTACAAGATGCAATAAAACTTCAAATAGAACAGGCAGCAGGGTACTTTATTCCATTTGTAAAGTATGCTTACTGTGCCAGGATCTGTCTAAATATACATCACACATTTAAACAGGGGCCAGCTACGTCCTCCAATTTGGCGAAACTCAGCAGGCTGCTAGTTCCACAAATCGGGGGCCACCACCAAGAACTCCATGTCTAGAGCAGTCATTCCCGAACCGGGCCATTTACCATTTAGGCTGAAAAAAATCCCACACATCCATTCCTAAGAGTAAGCCTCACTGAACTTAGTGGGATTTATTCCTAAGGAGACGTGGCTTGGCGTGCGCCCTTAGACGGACAAGCCCGCGGGTGAAGAGGCTTCCTTCGCATGCAAAAGCGGTTCGAAACATCCTGAAGGTAGCGGGGCCGAGCTGGCGCAAACACGCTGCAGCTCGGCATCAGCACAGGAGGGAAGGCGATCCGCGCTGTGAGAGTCACGCCGAACCCTCGAGGGCTGGCTACTCGCCCGGCGCCGCTCCGCCCCAACGTGTCGCCTTCCCTCTCGCCGCTCCGTGCTACGACCCCCAAAACTGCCGCGATCGTTCGTCCCTGGGGCCGGGAAAGCTCTCTGCTGTCAGGGCAGAGGCGCCCCCATCGCCGCGCGCCCCTCTCTCCGGTGGCGCAGCGGCCGCTCGCCGAATCGCGGTGCGCCTTGCAGTGGAGTCTCCCCGCTTTGCGGCGGCTCGTACCAACCGGGAGAGGCGCCTCGCTCCTTCGGCCAAACCCAGCAAGGGGAAAGAGGAAAACGAAAGTATTATTGCAGGGACCTTTTATCTTAATTGGTCCTCCTGTCACGCGCTCCCAAGGGATTGGCTGGGCGCGCTGGAGGGCGGGGAGCACTGGAGGGAGGGAAGCTGTTGCCTAGGTGACACTCTTCCCCTCCCTCCATGCCCCCCACGCGTTCGGGAGGGAAAGTCCTCTCAGACCAGGCGGGCGCGCAGCCGGCGTAGACGCGACCGGGGCCCCGGCAGGTAGCGCGCCAGCTCCGCGCTCCAGGGGCTCGGAGCGCAGCAGGGAAGCCGCCGCGCCGCCGGAGAAGGAGCCCGGGGCGGCTCAGGGACAGAAGGCGCCGCCGCCGCCCTGCCCGGGCAGGTGAGTGCGTGAGACCCGGATGCGCGCTGGCCGGGAGGGGGACCCGCTGGCGCGGCCGGCGGCGGGGAGGGAGGGCGAGGGCGGCCTGCCTGCCCGGGCGCCGGGCGCCGTCACCGTGGCGGAGCAGCGCTGGCCGGCTGCGGGTTCGGCGGCGGGGGAGCCGCTGCCCGGGCGCCGCGCAGCCGCTCAGGCGCTGCGGCGCACACGGGCGCGCGCCCGGCTCTCGCCAGCCCTGCTCTTGCGGGCTTTCTGCTGTGCCGACTGGCTCGGTCCCGCACGATCTCATGCGCTGCGCTGCCCAAGTGCCCGGAGGAGTGCGGCCACGGCTCGGCGGCGAGGCCACCCGAAGCAGAGGCCTCGCCGCCCCCTTTCTCCTTCACCTTCCCCGAAAGGCAGTGGAGGACGTGGCGCGTTTCTGGCAGAGGCTGGTCTTTCTTTCCGTGTGTCCCCCCTCCAACCGCCCCTTTGCCTTTGATCAGAGGGGAGGTTGTAAAAAAAGGAAGGCGTTTATCTGATTTTTCTTGAGCGCAGCAACAAGAAGCATCGCAATCCTGGCTTGCTCAACAGGCACCCGGGCCAGACGGCTGCAGTCTTCCTTAAGTGGTCATGTGCAGTTTAGTCAGCCCTTGCTCTTTATCAGCTGGGATGAGTGAGAGGGCTGTGAAGAGAGGGCTGTGGGATGCCGCCTAAATCAATGACAAGAGCTAGAGCTGTGAATGTTGACAAAAGAGATATTATCAACAATTTTGTCATTCTCTCTTGCACTCAAATGCTGTGCAAATGCTAATTTTGCCTGGCTTCAACACGTCTCAGCGATGCTTGATCCCTGCTGCTCCCATTTTACAGGTTAGCAACTGAGAGTGAGCATTTGTTTTGTTTAAGGATCTGTTACATTGGATTGCTCTTCTGTTTTTTTTTTTTTTAGAAGCATTCTGTATTGACTTATTGGGTAACCAGATTACTCTTGCCAAAATCCATTCTCAATTGGCTGATTCCAGTTATTTCTTTCCTACTTTCATTTGGTTTAGCAAGGGGTGACAGGAAGTCCCTGGTTGATTTTAAGCATCCAGACTCATTTTATATGGTGAATCAATATTGCCAGAACTTCACTAGACTGAAAATGTGCATTTTGTGTCCTTTTCTGGAGTTGAATGTTCATTCACAGTGTGTAAATTTTTCTGGGATCATTACTATGTTGAACTGTACAAATAAACTTGCCATCTGGCCCTTCCTGTTGATTGTCACACAGGGTCTCTCTTCCTATTTCTGGCCCATTTCGGGCTCTAAAATAAGGAAGAGGAAGTAACTTGGATCAACAGTATTCTCTCTTTAGACGTCTTCCTAAGAGCTCCTTTTGGTATGAGCTTTCATAATAACAGCTTCAAATAAATTAGGTCTGTTTTTCAAAGTTTTCATATGCTGTCAATGCCTTTTGTATCTTTCTGGAGTATCTGTAGTGTTTGCTGCATTGGTGGTGATTCTGATTACTGTTCAATAGACCCATATAGCTGCTAGCAAAGTCATTTTTATGGTAGCTACACTGAAATGTAAGTGTGAAGGCAGAGTATTGCTGGTGACTACTTATTTTGATTGATACATTTTTCACCCATCAGGGGCTGCATTCCCCAGGGCTAATCTGTCCCAGGAAGCTGCATTCCCTGAAGCCAGAGAGGTGGGAAGGAGCCAAAGGCAAATATGGGTGCTTTTCTTAATTCTCCCCGCCCCCTTTCCTTCCCTCTCCTAGTAGGTGCTGTTGCAGAAAGCTTTTGGAATTTGGCCAAGGGCTGCAGATTCTTACTCTAGTTTAAAAGCAAGTCAGCAGCAAACATGGCTACATTGTAACCAGCTGTGTGAATTGCATTAAACATATATTTCTGCAGAAGAACTTCAAAAAATGATGGATTTCTGTCCCTGACCAATCCTTTTCAACTGGTAAACACTTGCTGTGAAGTGGTAAAGAAAAAGAGTTCTCTTTCTCTCTATAGCTTAACAGAGGTTAGCAAAGCTTTGACTATGAACAAACTGGTATAATACTAGCAGGCAATTGCCAGCTCTACTGGAGAGCGTCTGCCCAGTGGAATAGGAGATAAACATAAATGTGTCATAAAGAACAAACGTATCATAAAGAATAATAGTAGTTCTTCCTGAATGTGGCATCTGTGTACACATTGTTGCTTGGAAAGTCGGTTTATCTCAGGGATTGAATCTTGTGACTGAAGATGAGAAATTTCACAGCTCCCCAAAATCAGAACTATATGTAGATAAAATCAGAACTATATGTAGATACATTTGTATGAATCTAGAAGACATCTCTGCCAAAGATTTCAGGAAGGTAGCCATGTTAGTCTATTGTAGTGCAATCATGGAGAACCATACTTGGGATCTTTAAAAGATTAAGAAGACAATCCCTTGCATGTTTAGACAGAAAAAAGTACTACAGTTGTTTGCATTTCCTGGTCAGGATAGCTGGTTGAAGATTGTTCAACCTGCAGCAGTTTTTTGCCTAAATGTTTAGAGGATTCCACTCTATCTATCTATCTATCTATCTATCTAGATTATGGTCTACTAGAACAGACAGAACCATATACAAGCTCTATTGGATCAGAATCCAGTTTGCAGATGGTGTGGTTATTCTTGGTTGGCAGATTTTATTTATTTATTTATTTATTTATTTATTTAATTTATTTAGAGTACTTCTATGCTGCCCCATTCACCGAGGCCTCGGGGCGGCTCACAATCATAAATAAATAACATAATATAAAACAATATAATTTAGCAGTATAACAGTAAAATTTAAGTCACCCTGGCCAAAGAATAAAATAAATAAATATTAACAATTAAAATAATGTTTGACTAAACATTATATTAGATTATATGCACTCACATACCACACGTGCATACAAAGTATCAAAAAAGAAAAAAAAAGAAATTTTGGACTGACAGGGAGATAGAGAAGCAGAAAAGGGGGTAGAAAATGTGCTCAGCTGGAGTGGAAAAATCATGGCATGTGGGATGTTTGTACCTGGAAATCTGATGTGTGCAGACCAAAGGAAGGGGAATTTTATTCCACAATGATAGAATAGGTAATGCAAGTTATCTGTTTTTAAATGCAGAAGATCAGTAAACAAATTAATGTAATTATCCACACATTCAATAAATTCTATTGAAATGATAAAGACTGTCTACCAGTCTTCCCCAGCTCAGTGCCCTTCAGATGTTTTGGAATTCAACTCCCAACAGCTCTAGCTAGTATGGCACTTGTTGAAAATCCTTGGAGTTCTAGTCCAAATGTGTGGCGGGCACCAGAATAGGAAAACCTGTTGTAACTCTTACTGATTGCACTGTTTGCAATTGGTTCACTGTGCAAAGTGTCCAAAATATTTTTAATAGAAATCAATCGTGCTGGCTCTATGTAGCATCAAAGCAATCTTAATGAAAAGAAATTGTGTTGAAAGCAGTTGAACTGGCATGCCTGCAAACTTTGAGTTTATTTGGATTGTTCAGCTTTGGAGGTTCTAAGCAGGTTACAATACCTGTATTATATTGTTTTATATTTCAATAAAAATCAGAATAACATTAGATAAGTGTTAAAATGTCTTGTTTCTACCTCTTTAAATCTATTCTTCCTTGCCTCTTCCTGTGCCTGTGAGTTTGAGTGTCCTTTCCCATTACATCAATATAGTGGATTACCAAATGGGTTACCCCATTCCAGGCATGGGAAGAAGGTAGTACATGAAAGAGCAATTGGAGAAAACATTTACCAGGGCAGCAGATTTTTAAAAACAAAACAGGATTGCTTAATGGGCCAAATTTAGCTTTAAAACAAGCTAAACCTGTTATGCATATGGTATGTGTTAGAATGGAAAAAGGCAGGATTTCTATATGAAAGAGACTGAGGTTGTTGATTGGGTTGCTGTTTGCATCTTTTGAAACATGCGATAATTTCATCTTCTGTTTAAACTAATTAATTTACTCCCAGACTTTTCAGAGTTTCTCCCTTTTCTACCGTACTAAGTGAAATTTGGAGTAAGGGATAGAATCTCAGATTACATGGAAGTAGCTTATTTTTCAGAGTGATTCTTGGAAGGTCAGGGTTGCCCTCAAGGAAAGAGCAGTCTTAGCAGTCTCACCATTGAACTACATTAGTGCTAAATCAGGGTTTAGTAGCAATGGTAATTTCAATTGGAGGTGTGATAAAAATATATTGCTTTAAAATTAGTTAAATGTGAATTTGAGAACAAGTAAGAGAGGCAATCATAGCAACAAGTACTATTGAGCAGTGGCAGAGAATGCCTGCAGTTTAGTTTTGTTCTGTAACAATCATATGCACATCTGCACCAAACTTGTATTGGTGCAGGTGTGCATATGATTATTGAATGACTTCTGTAGAACAATGCAAGTCTGTAGATAGCAGGATGACTTCACCCTGGATAGCTATAGAATTCCTGCTGCTGTTCTTCTGCATTGTCATGTTGCCCAGTGTGGGTGGAAGAGAAACAAACTGAGCTGCAGCATATGTCACAGAAAAGTTAAGACACTGGAGGACCTTTTATGAAGAGGCATTCAAGGCAGTATGGGAAGAAGAAGATGAACAGTTATGCTGGTCTGTTTTTTTAATAAATTCTAGTAGGTTGTGAGAAAGAAAATTCTGTTGGTATTCTGCAAACAAAACAAACAAGGCAAATTTACTTTTAATATAAAAGGCATTCTACAGATGAGTGAAATCTTTTTGTTTGAATCTTCTTGAATCCTTCAAGTTGTTATCAGTGCTTATCTGTAGAATTGCAAAAAATTTTCTTCTTTCAAGCAACAAATTTCATGCGATCCACATCACAAGCTACCTTTCAAAATTTGGGGAGTTAAAGGCCTGCTGTGTGTCTTATTAGCCTGTGCTTAATGGGCTTGCTATATCGTGGCTATTGGGGCTAAATTGAATGAAACCCAAGTAATTTACTTTAATTGAGTTTTAGATTGAGCTATAAACTTTGTCTAGACTTTTACTGTCTGCCCTAAATTTTCACTGTGAAAAGTTAATCTGGAACTATAATAATATTTAGCAGATTTATGAAATGCTCACTGATTTACCATGCTTTATATATATTATTTCAATAATCCTTAAAGCAGCTCTGTAATACCGAACAGTAGTATAATGACCATATTGTAATGGAGGGAAAGACTGAGGGTGTATTTGCATGCAAATACATGCAAATGCCAGAACACTGGAAAAAATTGCTTTACTGCAAATGGACTGCTTGCTACTTCATACAGCCTCATTGCTGCCACTTGGCTGCTCCAAGAAGCAGAAATTAAAAGCTTAGTCTTTCTTCTGCAGTATTCTGTTCCCACCAAATAAAATAACATAGCATAGCATAAAAATGGCTTCATTAGCCAAGAACAAGCCTTGGTGGGAGACCCCAAGATGAATCAATTGGGCTCTGGAATTCTGGCTGATTACTGTGTGTGAATGTAGCCAGTGGCATGGTTAAGACAGCATCTAGCCAAATCTTATGTTTGAAACATTTGTATTCATATTTTGTGTCAAACTGACATTCTTCCAATAAGTTGGCTAATAAATAAAAACCCATCATTGAAAAAATAAAACTAACATCTTACAGAAAATAAGGCATTTAAACCAACTATAGCGAGCAGCAGGTTAATGACATGAAAGGATAAAACAGGTATCATCGTGCAAAATTATCTGATGAAATTAACTTGCCCCCTAATGGCATGTGAGGAGAGGACTATCTGGGTCTTCAGATATAATGTGATGTGATACAGCTGTAAAAAGGGCAGATGCTGTTTTGGGCTGCATAAACAGAAACATCACTTCCAAAACACATGCAGTA